AAGCTAGTCTCCAAAACACCAAACAATCCAATTAAAAAGTGGTGTACGGAACTAAATAAACAATTCTCAATAGAGGAATCTAAAATGGCTGAAAGACACATAAGAAAACGTTCAACATCAATTGCTGTCAGGGAAATGCAAATCAAAACAACTCTGAGATATCATCTTAGACCTGTCAGAATGACTAAAATCGAAAATACCAATTACAATTTATGCTGGAGAGGATGTGGAGAAAGGGGAACACTTCTACACTGCTGGTGGGAGTGCTAACTTGCACAGTCACTTTGGAAATCTGTATGGCGATTCCTCAGGAAAATGGCAATCAGTCTACCAAAGATGCAGCAATTCCACTCTTAGGCATATACCCAAAAGAAGCACCTTCCTGCAACAAGGACATGTGTTCAACGATGTTCATAGCAGCATTATTTGTAATAGCCAGAATCTGGAAACAACCTAGATACCCCTCAACTGAAGAATGGATAGAAAAAAATGTGATACATTTACACAATAAAGTACTACTCAGTGGAAAACAAAGGCAATGGAATCTTGAAATTCACAGGCAAATGGATGGAGCTAGAAGTAACCATTCTGAGCTAGGTAACCCAGCCACAAAAGACAGGCATTGTATGTTCTCACTCATATGTGGATTTTAGACATAGAGTAAAGGATTTTAGACATAAAGGATTGTCCCCTGGAGAAGGGGAAAGGGACAAGATCTCCTGAGCAAATTGGGAGCATGCAGGGAGGGGAGAGGGAACTAGGAGAATGAGAAGGGGAGAAGAGGAGGGGTGAGGAAGACATGATGGGTCAGGGAGGTTGAGTTGGGGGAAAAACAGAAGAGAAGAAGTTAAGAGATAATATAATAGAGGGAGACATAAGTTCAAAGAGAAGTCAGGCACTAGGGAAATGTCTGGAGATTTACAAAGATGACACCAACTAACAATCAAAGCAACAGAGGAGAGGCTACCTTAAATGCCCTCTCCTGGTAATGAGATTGATGACTAATTCATATGCCATCCTAGAGCCTTCATCCAGCAGCTGGTGGAAGTAGAAGCAGACACCCACAGCTAAACCCTGAACTGAACTGAAATCCAGATGCAGAGAAGGAGGACTGATGAGCAAACGGGTCCATACCAAGCTGGTGAAACCCACAGAAACAGCTGACCTGAACAAGGGAAAACTGGTCCCCAGACTGATAGGTGGGAGACCAGCATGGGACTGATCCAGACACCTTGAATGTGGGTGTCAGTGAGGAGGCCTTGGAAATCTATGGGGCCTCTTGTAGTGGATCAGTACTTATTGTTACCATAGCAATGGACTTTGGGAGCCCATCCCACATGGAGGGATACTCCCTGATCCTAGACACAAGGGCCTAGGCCCTCTCCCAAAGAATAAGACAGACGTTGAAGACCCTCCCCATGGAAGGCCTCACCCTCCCTGGGGAGCAGAAAGGGTATGGGATGGGTAGGGCATTAGTTGGAGGGCAGTGAAGGAGGGGAGGGAGAGGGACCTGGGATTGACATGTAAAATAATTTTCTTTCTAATAAAAAAAGGAAAAAAAAGATGTTTGAAGCTAGCCTAGGCTACAAAGAAAGACAGCCTCAAAAATAAAAGTAAAATAAAATAAGAATGAAAACATGCTTTGTAAAGGCTGAGATGAATAAATGACTGAATATTTTCATGGTTTGGACGCTCATAATCATGCTCACCACTCCTTCAGATGATGTACCATTAGCTAAGTCATGACTGAAGTCATAGTAAGAAGCCCACGTTTCACTTCCCTCCATCACTGCCTCTTAATTACAAGTGCCTGTAACATCTTCCTTGCACTCCTGTTCATGTCCTTTGTCACTGCCCTGGTTCAGACTTTTTTACCTGGACATCTCAATACCCCCCTTCTTCGTCTACTTTCTCCTCCTCTAACACCATCTAATCCTGCTTCTGTTTTAGAACCTTTTGCCAGAGTCGTCCTCCCTGAACCTAGATGGGATCACACTATTCCATTGTATAAAACATCTTCAGTGTGTCTCATTACCTAAACTGGTGCCCTGAATTTAGACTCTGAACTGTAGATATTTTTTTTATTTTCTCTGGTCAATATTCATTTGTAATACAAGTCCTGGAAGATTCTAGTCAGGATAAGTTTGTTATTTTCAACACACTTCCTCATTATTTGACTGATTCATACTAGCTCATGAGATTGCATCCCTCTCCTACTGGAAGAGAGCTCATACTATCTGCCCCACCATTACTTTTCTCCAGTATTACATCATTTTCACTAGTTCCTTCTGTCTACTATACTACAGAAAGTTTTTAGTTTAAGAGTGTGTTGAGCTCATGGGCCCTCTACACCTTTCCACATGATACTCATATTAAGTGAGGTGGTTCTGTTTTTTTTTCCAGGATCTCACACTATGTACCCCTGTCTGGTATTCAGTCTGTAAACTAGAATGGCCTCAATAGCACAGAGATCCTTTTGCTTATCAAGTGCAGGGATTAAAGATGCGTGCCTTGCTCCCATCTTGAAGTCTTGAAGTGTTTTTATATCAATGATTACAGACTAATACCAATGTCACATGCTTTACAAAGATCTCCCTGGTCTCCCCAGATTAAATGGGCTACTCTTGCCTTTGGGTCCATTAATTCACCAGTCCATCCTTCTTTCCATCATCTGTCCATTCAGTAATACACTATGCACTATTGGAGTATCAGGTAAAGAGCAGGGTATTATTAACATAAAAAATACCCAAGACATAGACTTTGTTCCAAGTTTCACCCCTCACACTCACATTCATGGCTTGGCACACTCTAGTAGAGTGGCTTGACTAGATTGAAGGACATGCATGTATTTAGGAGAAGGTGCAACTGGAAAAATGGGTAGGCTGGAACTTTTCTCTGGAAACACAAGGGAGATCAGTTAGAAATCTGTTGCTGAGATCCTGGCAGCATATATACTGAAGAGCTGAATTAAGGCAGCTACAGTGAGGAGGACATGATGGAATGGGCTTGGGGAGGAATGGCTGCCATAGGCAGTAACTGATTGACTGTTAGTGGTGAGGGGAACGTACCAGTCTTCTGGACTGCTGACTGGAAATACAAGTGTGGCCATGAGAAACACAGGCAGGGAGAAAGAGCAAACCAAAGAGTGGTCTGCTAAATTGTTGATGTGCCCCTGGGACATTCAAGTGTATTACAGGGCTGCACTATGGAGGCCATCACCAGCTGGAGAGTAGCTGAAGTCATTTTGTAAGTATGGGAGAAGGAAAAAGGGATCCAGCTCACTCTAGGACTTTGGAGAATAGAAGTAAAGGTCAAGAGGGACAAAAACAAAAGGGAAACTAGAAAGAAATATAATGTCACAGGCCCAGATTCCATATATGACCACAGTAAAGGCTAGTTCTGTCGGCGACCCCCAAAATGGCACTACTCTGTGATTGCTATCTTCCAATACTGAACTTTTTATTTGTGTCTATCCTGTAAGTTATTATGCATAGGCTGCTAAAAAGACAGCATTCCCCCTCCAGTACCCCTGCAATTATTTCTCTGCAGCAGGAATCCCTAGGAGTGCTAAATTTCTTCAAGAAGCCATTGTTTTAGCTTGTAAGTGCCTGTGGGAAGCTTTGCGATGATCTTCAGTCATTCATTCATATGAAGAGCATATGTTGCAATAAAATATTTAAAAATGAAAATTTAAACTCCCCGGAAGTCCAGCCCCCTGTGAGCCTCACCAGCAAGCCCCCTGATGTGTCATAGGCCCAATCATTTTTATTTTGCTGTGGAACTCTATTTTCCTTGTTTTCAGTCTGTGCTTTCTTCAATGCACATTCAAGGATGCTGGGCAGCCTTACTTAGCTGCTGCTGTGTGTTTGGTGTCTGCTGTAGAACCTAGAACACTGTATGTGCTTCCAGGCTTTGTAGAGCACACAGAGGAACTAGACATCTTTTCTGTTCTTTTCTGGCCTCTCCAACAAGCTCTTCTCTTTCTTGTATCTGTCTTTTCATGTTATAAGAACGAAATGATGGTTACCCACAATTTTTTCCATTGAAGAAGAAAATGGCAAGGGTGGGTCTCTAAATACCCATTAGCACAGGAGAGGACTTGAAGCCAGAGAGTTGTTCACGAGCTCAAACATTTCATCTGTAAATGACACAAGTCCTGCCTGGAGTTGGATATCTATGGGGACTGGTAAGCCTAAAATATACAGCCTGGAGTCTTAGGGAAGAGTTGATGTGCCCATGTGCCAATTCCTCCTGCTTAGGAGAGGTTTGTCATTGTGTAACACCCACTCTCACTTTGGAAGGTGATCTGCTATACTCATAGTTCATCTTTAATATGTAGGAGTCAAAACTGGGACATGGGGCTCAGCCTTTTGCTTGCCTTCAAAAGCCTTGCTTTTTCTCTCCATTGCTTTGTCTCTGCCAGCACCTGTATGCTGTGGCCACAGGGTTCCTCATTATGAGTAGGATCCTGGGTCACAATGTAAGTAGATAGCCAGCTGCAAGAGAGCCAGGGCTTGGCAGCCTGTGACATGTCAGGGCGGGACAATGAGAAGGGCCAAAACCAATCTCCTTCTTGGGGAAGAGGGAAACCAATGCCATCCCTCACACTGCAGGTGGGCTAGGGCTCTAGAGAAGAACACTGTTTCAGCCATGAAGGGGAAATGCCAATGACCAGCGCTAATGAGGGACAGGAACAGGAGAGGGAGGGAGTTCATTTCCATAGAGTACAAGGAGGAACAAGGCGAATGGGGAAGAAGTGGGGAGACCCAGCCTTCCACTGTATTCACCTCCCAGAAGGAAGCCGACCTACTGTAAAGCAGTCCTCCAAACACAGAAAGCAAGAACCTCATTCTCTGGAGCCTTTTCTTTGCCAACCAGACTAGCAGAGGTCAGTGAAGCCTCAGGGGAGTTGAGCAAGCCTACAGCAAGGATTGTATAGGAAGAGCCAACTTGGGAACACTGCCTTCTCTCTGGGAGCAGTATTGTGGCACTGAGAAAAAATGGAGACCAAATTTGTGGTAATCTGTCTCAAAACCCTTCTCCTCACATACTCCTTTGCCTTTTGGGTCACTGGAGTGATTCTGTTGGCTTTTGGAGTCTGGGGAAAACTTAACCTGGGTATCTATTTATCTCTTATTGCCAGGCACTACGCAGATATTCCCTCTGTGCTTATTGTAACTGGCACCATGATTGTCAGTTTTGGTCTATTTGGATGTGTTGCTGCATGCCTAGGTAACCCGTACATGTTGAAGCTATATTCTTTGTTTCTGTCACTGATTTTCCTGGTTGAGCTTCTTGTTAGCATTTCAGGGCTTCTGTTTCATCGTGGGATCAAGGCAAGCTTCCTGAACATTTACACCAATGCAGTGCAAAATTATAATGGCAATGATGACAAGAGCCAGGCTGTGGACCAGGTGCAGTATAGCCTGATCTGCTGTGGTGTGAAGAACTACACCGACTGGAAAACCAGCCCCTACTTCATGGATCATGGGATCCCTCGAAGTTGCTGTAAGGATGAAAGCGATTGTAACTCCCAGGATCTACACAACCTGACTGTAGCTGCCACCAAGGTTAACCAGAGGGGCTGCTATGGTCTGATGATGAGTTTCTTGGAGGCAAACATGGGGACCATCATTGGAGTGCTCTTTGTAGTCACATTCTCTCAGGTGATTGGCCTGAGACTGTCCTGCTGTTTGTCCCGGTTCATCGTGGCCCATCAACGTGAGATGGTATGAAACGTTTTCCAAGGGCAATACAAAAAGAAGCCTGTTTCAAAGAACTGCTCTGTCCTCTTGCAAAGAACTTGTGAAGACTTGCAAAGAACATGAGCACACAGAACAACTCCGCTGTGCTCTTGCTGCCCTCTTCCTCAGGTCCTCCACCACACAAATTGCTGACACTCCTACCTGATCTCGGCTCCAACTTTTGGCCCAAATGAAGTGTGCTGTTTGTCTCTGGAAGCCCTGTTGTGTTGCACAGTGTACCCACCTGCAGCTAGCCATAGTGAACCCCACTCTATGGCCCTGTGCACGCAAGCTCTTCCTCATGTATTGGGTCCAAATGCAGCTTATTGTGGGAGACTGGCTGTTACATCTTCACTGGCCTCCTGTGGCCTGAATTCAGCATGGGAGGCTGTCAGCCCTTCATTGTGATCCATAAATGCCATGCACCTTTATAGAGATAACCAGATGGGAGTTATCAGCTCTTTGGGTTTAATCTTGTTTGCTCTGGTTTTCATTTTTCTGGGGTTTTCCTTACCTTCTTTAGCTGCCTAGGAGATGTGACGAAACATGTCAGTAGTTATTAGGAAAAGATAGCATGTGTCATGGTGGAAACTCTTGAGGGTGCAAGTTCCAGCTAGTTCCAACAGCTTAGTGCTTGTTGGCTATTCAGTACAAACCTGCACAACTCATTCCAAGGCTGTGTTGTTTCTTCTCTTGAAGGTAATAATGCCAAATCTGGGTTTCCCCACCAACTAATTGCTGCTGTTATTTTCTTTTTCATTCTCTGTATTTGTTTTCTTGATTAACATTGTAAACTGTGAGGGTCTCCGATCAACTTAAAAATAGGTGAGAAGGGGGAACAGAAGTCAAAGATTTTGAAAAGATCTTTAAAAACAATGCCCCTGGGGCTTCAGGGTTGCCTCAGTGGGTAGTGTTGGATATGTAAACATCAGGATCTCACCTGGAGCTCTAGAACCTATGTGAAAGCTGGACACAATGCTCTTCACTTACTATTCCAGTGCTGGGAAGGTGGACACAGGCAGACCTCTCTCGCTTCCTAGCTGTCCCACACAGCCTAGTTTGCAAGCCACAGACCAGTGAGAAACCCAGCCTCAGCAAATGAGATGGATAGCATCTAAGGAATAATAGCCTAGCTTGGCCTCTGGCCTCCACACCCCCATATGTGTGCACCCCCATACACACATACTTGCCTCAGAACAGCCTCTTCTGTCTAGCATGTCAACACAATGCATTGATAGTAGAAGCATTTGTGATGTATAATAGGGCAATTATGGGTAGCCAAAATGACAAGAAACAAACACCAGAGATGCCTTGGGAGCTCCTGTGTAAACTCTGTTCCCTTCTATTTCTCTGTCTCATTGGCAATCACTGGAAGTCAAAATCACTGCAAGTTACTGGAGATTTGAGAATTAAATTTCAAGATATTGATAAAGGCTTTCAGTTAATGATCCTTCTTTGAATATCTTTGTGACCTGTTAGGTCCTCCAATGGGGCACTTAAAGGAACGCTTCTTTTCCAATAGTAGGTTTTCATGCAGTTAGTTGCTTTGTATTTGGAATGTGGCATTTGCTTCCCATATTGAATTTTCTCTGAGCATTATGATAGCTTAGAGAGGGGAGAATGGAGTTAGCTGAGCCTTTCACTTTGTTTACTGCCTCTAATCCTACTAAGAGACACACATGAGTCATTGTAGTAAAGTCCAGGCTTGAGTCACAGTCAATACAGTACTTACAATGGTGCCACATTCTTGTCCAGAGATGGGGAGGAGGTGAACGTGATAATTCTCAGTAATAGATAATTCCAAGTAATAGCCAACATCATGAAAACTCAGTGAGATTCTGGGAAGAGATCTTCTAAATAAACTACAACAAAAGGTAGTTTCATTTTCCTGTCATTTTTGAGCAACATGTACTCCAGGACTTAGGGTTCTTGAAGCCATGTTGTAAATCATGAGAAAAACAAACAAACAAACAAACAAACAAACAAAACCCCTAAGCCACACTAAACCAAATCAAATACCTCAGGTATTGGGATTTACAAATCAGAACTGCTGCAGCCTGTTTTCTGTGTTTCACATCATTCTCTGGTTTTATGTTTGATTGGGCTCTAGTCACCCAGTACCAGAAGCCTGATCTGCATTTCCAATAAAGATGTGGCTTGGAATCTCTTGAATTTCTTATGGAGATATCAGATATCCAAATCCTCAGATCAGAACTCCGTTCCTGGTATATTTGAAACAAGGAGGAGGGGAGAGAGAGAGAGAGGGAGGGAGAGAGAGAGAGAGAGAGAGAGAGAGAGAGAGAGAGAGAGAGAGAGGGAGAGAGAAGGGGGAGAGAGAGGCAGAGACAGACAGACATATAGAAACCGGAATAGAGAGGCGATGCTAGAGAAAAATCAGATTTTTAGTGTTTTCTTTTCAACTCTATGTGCAGAACCTAGACTTCTAAATCTGACATAGCCATCAAAGAACCTGCGTTAAGCCCAAACCCTCCTTGAAGAGGCATCTACTATGATATCATATTTCCTCCCTAAACTGACTATATTTGGACTATGGGGTTCTGTAGGGGAAGCTGTAGGGCGTGGTCAGGGTGACGTAGAGTGAGAGGTGGTCAGGTGGCTGGTTTTGGTTTTGGCTTTACTTTCGGCTTACCGTACAGACTGCTGCCCACCTGCTGGCTAGGTCTCTCTGTAAGTAAGGCTTTTTCCCTATTAAAATCCCTTGTATTTTTATCTGGCTCTGTATTGGTAAATTTCCCAAATTAGAGTTCTATGGCTTTAATGGAGTACAGAAGGGGCAGATTGTGGTAGTGTCATATGTTATAATGACACTCTTGTACTCTGTTGGAAAAGGGATGTGCAGGTTATTGCCAGGTTAGCGTGGACAAAGTGTCAATGATCTATTTGTTCTGAATGGATTTCCCTTTACAGCTCAGATACCCCTGGAGTGATAGCACACAGATGACACCAGCAGAAATAAACTTGAATTTGAATCTCATGGAATACCCAGAGCCAGACAGCCATGGAATGGGAAAGGGGAGAGGAGGATGAAGACAAGAGAACCGCAGATGCCATGTGTCTCAAAAGCATGGCTGAGCACTTGACCAGAGGGGCAAGACTGAGCTTTGGACTGACTGACTCTTTGTCCCCACTCCCTCCTCCCCAGACAATCTGCTGGCTGGGGAGGAGATGAAAGACAAGAGTTTTAGGGTGTTAATCCACTGCCTCAGAAATTTGGAAGATCCGATTTGTGTCCCTACTCATGGATGTTTCAAAGAGACAGGCAGCAACTAAACTCCAGTATTGGGTTATAATTTCATGCTGGAAAAACTGGGATTTTAGAGGGTCATCTTTAAAAGTACTGTTGCACTAATCCTCTCAGTTTCTTAACCATGGTGTCCTTAGACTTACATTCCCCTAACTGTGAATGTGGATGGTCACCTTTTATAGTGGGTAGTTGGTTCAGTAGAGGGCCCTGGAAATGCCTGAAACTGCAGAGATAACTGCATTATATCTTTCTGGGTCTATCACTACAGTCATACCAGTTTTTTTTCTCCTGCATTATTAGGATTTTTTTTTTTTTTTTTTTTGCGTGTGTGTGTGTGTGTGTGTGTGTGTGTGTGTGTGTGTGTGTGTGTGTGTTGGGTATTTGGTGATTGGTGCCCCAGCCCTATGTCCAAAGGGCCAGATACTATTGCAACTTATCAGCCTAGCCAGGCCCACTGACCTGGATTCTTCCCAATCAGAGATGCCCATTTCCCATCAGGCTTTATGTAGCCTCTCCGTGAGGGTCCCAGGCACTCTGACTCTTGTGTGTCCACCTGTTTGCCTGCCTGCATCCTACAGCGATGCTTGTGTTTACCCCGTCTTTGCAGGTCAGCCCCAGCTTGGGTACCTGGATGAATTTCTCTGCTACCCAGTCAGTTTCCATGACATTCTGAGTTTGGACTTTAGCCCTTCCTTGGTTCCCTGTTACTCATTTACAGTGGCTCACATGTCATTGCCTCACAGTTCATTTGAAAAATCTCTTCCTCTTGTGCTGAAGCTTCCCATCCTCTCATCATCCTCTAGTCTGCCCTGAAATTTCTGTCTCCTGATTGGAATGATGGGTAGAGTTTCAGGGCTAAGAATAATTAAGATTTTGATAACCATGTTGGTTACTTTTTCTCATTTCTGTCACCAAATGGCAGGTCAAAAACAATTGAATGGATCAAAACAATGATCAAAAACAATCCTGCTTTGCTTCAGCTTACAGTTTGAGAGATTCTGGTCCATCCATCATGGTGGGAAAGCCATGGCAGCAGGAGCTACACACAGTCATCCACAGCCAGGAAGCCAAGGGTAATGATTGTTTATGCTCAGCCCACTTGCTGCTTTGTATTGAGTCTTCAACCCCAGATCATGGGGTGATGATGAATATTCCACCTCAGCTAATACACTTAAGAAGCCCCCTCAAAGATATGCCAGAGATTTGTTTCCTAGGTAATTCCAGATCTGGTCAGGTTGACAATATTAACCATCACAGGTGATGAAACTGCCAGAATGATTGATCATGTGGTGGGGAAGTGAAGTAGGCAGAGGACACCCATGAACATGTTGACTGAGATGGAGGAAGAGACAAGAGTAATAGCCGAAGGCATTACGGGGATGGCTGATGCTTTGCCCAAGAGCCAATAAAGGGGCTTCACAGGGTGGCCCACATGGAGATCCTCATAATTTTCCTGGTCCCTTTATCCTGCCTCAAAACACAAACATAAGGAGAACCTGAGAAAATGTGCCAGCAACACCCGGCCCTTAGGGAGCACTAGTGCTGTCCCAATGCATCAGGCCAGGCATATCTAAGGTACCTGTGATTAGTGCTCATAGTGACTTGCCATTCCCCACAAAGATCCTCCAAGTGTCCAGGTTCTTCCCTGTGAATGTCCTGCTTGGCCACTATTATGAATGAGTGAAGACATGGTGAAGCCAGTGACCTACAAGCTTTGGTGAAAGGA